CGGGGTGGACGGGCCGCGCCGCGCCCGCTGAAGCGGCCCGGTGACGCGTGCCCGGCCCCAGAGCCGGTCACCTACCGGTGTTCCCGGCCGTGAACCGCGGGGGTGTGCAAACGGGCACGGCGCTGCACGTCGTTCTGTGCAAGTGACTTCGGGGTTTGTGGTGTTAATGGTGCCGCTGTTTGCTAGAACTCTCTTCTGCTCTGTGCAGGCTTGTGAAAAACCTCGATTTCCAAGATGAATAAAGATGCCCAGATGAGAGCGACCATTAACCAGAAGCTGATAGAAACGGGAGAGCGAGAGCGGTAAGCAGGCTTCCTCCTCCGCGCCAGGAAGAGGCTTCAAATGTTAGCAAACGTGAACTGTACCTACAAGTAAAGATTAAGTAACCTTAACTCGAAATTCTTCGAGTGTCTGCATGTGAAAGTCTTGTGTGTTATATAAAGCTATCTTAAAAAAGTATTTTTGCCTTTTGAACTGTTTTATTTTAGTTTTATGCTTTGAAAAGAGAACCTGGGAAAACGAAGGATGAGGTGGTTGGCTTATGAACTCTAAAGCTTTTTCTTATTCTGGTGTGTTGTGTTGGAAAACTCCCCATTCGTCTAAAAATCACTATTAAGTGCAATTTGTTGCAGTTAAATCTTATTTCCTGATAAAGAGAATGAGACAAAACTTTCCTTTTTACTTTTAAGTTTTTCTTGTGTTCATATCCCTTTTCTTGTTATATGTGGTGGAACACATAGAACAGCACTTGTGCAAGTCATTGTATAAATCCTAATGAGGGCAAACGAGTAAATTACGCAATGTAGTGTGGGAGCTGCTTTCTGGCCTTTTGTTGTCTCTTCAGTCTGTTCTATTTGCACTTTATTTACATACCACTAGCATGCTTATGACGTTTCCCTCGTCATCGTTTCGCTTTATTTGTAACACCACACACCAAAAGCTCTATTTCCTCCATTTTTCAAGGCCCGTATGAGAAGGAGTCATCTTCCTAGGTCACCGCATAGCCCTGTACCTAGTGCAACCTTTTGTAGGCTGACGTGATGTCTGTGCTCTACTTCTTCCCTTTGGAGACAGCACAGAGCTTCAGCAGAGCACGCAATTTCTTGAAATGGTATTAGGACCTATGTTACTCTTAATTTGAGTAAGAGGAGTTTTGACTGGATGTCAAAGGCTGTACTATGATCAGAGACAAGAGCACTCAGATTTCTTGAATTAAGAACTCTCCAGAAGCAGTGAACTTCACCTGTATTATTACTCTGCTTTTTGTCATCGATTTATTTGCCCTCTACACAATTCAGCAAGCAAAAATGATTGGACCTACACAATTCAGCCTCTTGCTGCTGTCCTTTTCTTCCTAAAAACAGAATTTTGGATGGTACAAAATAGGTAGGATGGTACAAAATAAGTAGGCTCGCTAGCTAATGGAATAAAGGATGAAGATATTAAAGCTTATTTTATCATATCTTACTTTCATTTTCCCTTCTGTTTTTCAGTACTAATAGCTAGCTTTCAGTACTTTATTTTGATACATGGAGTAGATGTATCGTTGCGGCAGATTGTTGCCTGTCTTCTCTGTTTAGTGCCTGAATCCTTGTTGCTTATGCTTATAATCGCTAACCACGCTTAGGAAGATACATGATTTCTTCGTCTTCACCCAACATGAGTTAAAAGTGTAACTGGGAAGAGAAACCTGCAGTTGAAGACAGTAGTACAGAATTCTCCTTTCAGAAAGGAGGGGGGAAGGTTTTATTTATTTTGAAAGCCTGGTTTCAGGTGAAATATTCTAACTTTGGAAGTTAGCCTATGTTTGCTAACAGAGTAGACTCGGGCAGTTCATGATTCAAGGACTTCTTCTGTGGCTGCAGCATCAATGCTGCCTGATGAAATACCATGAATTAGCTCCTGAGCTGCCGACTCCTCAGAGTCCAACACGGTAAACTGAAATTGGTACTCATGTGGGTTAGGATTCATAGAATCGTTTAGGTTGGAAAAGAGCTTTAAGATCATCAAGTCCAACCGTTCCCCTAACCCTGCCATCCCACTGCTAAACCATGTCCCTAAGCACCTCATCTATCCTTCTTTTAAATACCTCCAGG